CATTGTGATATAGAGCAACAATGGAATGGCTTGGATTGCATTATATCTGAACAAGGACTGATGTCCAATCCTTGTGTTTTTTCCTCCTTTCATTCATTGTGATAGAGACAATGATGGCAAGTCAAGGAGTTTTCAGTGGCGGCTCTTTTGTTTGATGTGCGTTGCTGAAAAGACAAAACCTCATCCAATCTTTGTGATTGGATGAGGTTTTGTTTTCGCCTACAATCCCTGCTGGTGTTAGAAACTTGTAGAGGGAAGCATCAGCTTTCAAGTTAACATGATTAAGGTGTTTCTGCAGTGACTGAATTATGCAAAAAGACTCCAAGTGCCAGTGGCGTACTCAGGCTCTTTTGGGGCAGGGGCAGAAAAATAAAGGGCACCAACACACAGACATTTTGAGCATTTAACATATTTTTGTGAATATTTTTGCAGCTTTTAGAGGTGGATATTTAATTATCAAGAAGAACACCTGATTATTTATACGCAATAAACAAAAAAATAAAGCTACTTCCTGCATTAAATCAAAATTCGAGTGATCATAATAATTTTAAATCAGTTTAAAAATAAATAGTCAAGCATAAATCAATGATAATCAAACAGATTTGATACATAAATAATAAAAATAACTTTCTTGTGTATGAAGCTTTGCCGAAAAAAAAACAAGTTTGTGAGCTAAATATAAAATTCAAACAACAATGAGTTATGTTATTGTTTTATTTTTCGCAGAAAGGCACCGAGAAGGTACTTTTATCTTAATTTTAGAAAAGGACATCCAGAGAGCGATTTTTTTGTATCAGAGTGGCTTTTAGAGGGCATTTAATGCACATTTTTTTATATGTGAATGCCATACAGTGGGCATTTTTCACAATATACATACTGGAAGGACATCCAGAGGGTCCTTGGCATCCAGATGGCATGTTTGTTTCATTGTAAGAGCAACTTTTTGCATTAATCAGCTTGAAAGGCAACCATAGGGCCCTTATATTTTTTACATTTCATCCAATTGAAGGGCACCTAGAGGGCACTTTCTCACATTTTATTCCCACAGAGAGCACAGAGGGCACTTTAATGTTTCATCCTTGAGAGGAGCAACGACCAGAGAGAGCATTTAATAATGATTTATTTACAACAGGGCATCCAAGAGGGCACTTCTGCAGTGTTTTGCAGATATAAGGCCCGGTTTGACTGCACCCCTGCCACTTGTACATCTCCCTTCCACCTGTTTTAACCAAAGCCACCAGTGCAGGTTATCAATTCAGATACGTCCTCCATGCTGAGAGTTAGGGTAGCATTTTTTTCCCTCTCTTAAGACTACACTAGAACAGCCTCAGTGCGGATCAAAAGGCCACTTGGCTTGATCACACGTGCCCTTGGGACGTTGCATGGCAATTAGGGCAGCTAAAAGAGCAATCATGCTAACTACAAGAGCACTTAGGCCAATGTGAAGAGCACTTGGGGAGCGACTGGTCTGACCAGAGGAGCACTCTAGGGCACTCGGTTGCTCCGCTGGGGAGAGGGAAACATGGGAGTTCACTATTAGGACACAAACAGATTTACTTTAAATAATCTGCTCAGAAAGGTGCGCTTAAGTACTCAGCACGTCTCTGATTCAGCCTATTATATGTAGAACTGGAACTGTATTTCATCTAATACTTCTTCAGGGAAGGTAAAAACCTGATTTAGTAGTAGTAGTAGTAGTTCTAGTTTATTTCGGCTTTGGAAAAAGGTATATTCCATTCCATGACATTTCAATTACATTTACATTTGTTTCAGTAATCATACTGTTTGGCCGAAAGGGTATAGGCTGAAGCTAAGAGCTTATAGCACCTACCCCATTTAAATGTGAGACAAAAGGAAAGACAAAAACCCCCCCCCAAAAAAAAAAACGAAACAAAAAAAAAAACAAAAAAAAACAAAACAAAACAGAAAAAAAAACAAAACAAAGAACAAACAGATAGTACGACACATGGTTTCATGTTGTTTAACTAGAACAACAAACTAACAAACTTATATTTGCTGGAGAGGTACTACATTGTACTGTTATAGTGTTTTATACTTGTCCGTTACTTTGCGTTTTAACATTTTCTTAAATTTTGAAACTGTAGGACAAATTTTTAAGTCTTCTTCAAGGCTGTTCCACAAACATACTCCTCTGATCAAGCATCTTGCTTTTGTATCTGTCCTTACATTTGATCTACTGAGATAAGGAATTTGGGAAACACAGGGTTAAACAGGATAACTCAAGGAAGGAATTCAGGGCTCGTTGGAAGCAGGAAAACACCGTCTCGATTTGTCTGTCAAAACCTGGGGTGACATTTACATTCAGCAGGTGCTGTCAATACTGAGAGTGGGGTTGAAAGCTTGATAATGTAAAAGCAAACACGTGTTAAAGTCCGCTGACGTTTACTCGCGTTGACTCTCAAACCTACTGCTGACAGACGCTCTCGTCACGTCGCCCTGTGATGCAGGGTCAGCTGTTTGTACCTCTTTGTTCGCACCGTCCCGTCAAAGAAGACTCCCAAACCTTGCTTTCTTTTTTTTCTTCTTTACAAACATGTACAGGGCTGCGGCGTGTGACAAGGAGAATGCTAATTTCTTTTGTTGACTCAGGTCCAGGCTTGTTGGTTATATGATCACTATGCGCCGGCGGTCCAACCTGTCCTTTCTGTGTTGTGCAATGACGGAGTACGACAGTATGTTTGCGTCCAAAGAGGAGTACCATCATCATCGTCCAGAATCTGGATTTATTGCTACAGGGAAAATTTAAACACATTTTTCTAGAAATTAATGGTAATCTCATGTTCGTATTAATCAGTTTTATGTCCGACAAGATGAAGCATGGAAGATTACTTTCTACTCTGACTGTATTTCTTGACTGGTAACATAACTCAAGCCCCAGCATGTTTTTCTTATAACCTTCCTTGACAGTGTTTGTTCTACCTTGTTGCTCTCCTTGTGGTTTGCAATGATATATAGCGGGTAATGAGATATTTTGCGGCTTACTGTGGTTGTTTGTTTGAGCTATAGCTCAAAGAAAATAATATTTCAAAGACATAATAAAGCTGCTCTGCAGGCCATTGAACCTAAACTACTTTATGCACGACAGGAATGAGCAACTTGGTGTAATTCCACCCTCTTTGTTGTGACTTTTATCACATTCTTGCCGTATTGCATCCTCATTTGCAAAGCAGACTTTCATGGTATGATTACTACCTTTCTTTAAAATATTACTCATTATATGAGCGCTCTGCAACCACCAAGAAACAGTTTAATTTATCCTTTGTTGAAGGGCTTTGTTGTTCTGTTTTTTTCATCTTGGCTTGCGCTGTGCTTTGTTTCCAATTCCACTTTTACACAGTCACTGAGACCAAAGGGTAAAGGTGAACGCACAGCAGCCAGATGCAAAGGCACAGCAGGAAAGGGGAACATGGCAGGTGTCGGATTTGATCCCGCTCCCCTCAGGGCCACACTCTTCAAGTGTATGACAAAGTGCATGAAACAGGTGCTGGTGGCTACCTGGGTGGGTGCAAATAACTGACAGGAAAGGACGGCAAATACAGTGTGGTTTAAATGAGCGCAGAATACTTGAGAATTAAAATACAAGAGGTTCTCTTATGCTTCATTCTTCCGATCCTGAAAGGCTCCCTCAAACCATTTCCATTGCTAGTTACTTCTGGAGTACACTTATGCTGTGCCATGCACAAAGACTTGATGAAACATAGACGTAGTCTCAGTAAATGGAAATGGTAAATGGACCACTTAATGTGCTTTTACGGGATTTTTAAGGATGCTAAACCGGGGCGAAATCAGTGTTAACTAGAGCCAACCATTTGCATTTGAATAGCACTTGCAGTATCTCTCAGACAGTGTCTTGGCAAGGTCACTTGGATATTTGGGCCAGTCCAACAGCCAACCTCACAGTTGTATAGCAACTGACCCTTTAGCTGATTCATATCTACCCCTCATTGCCATTACCCATTGTTTTTTGAAGCGGCGTCATGATGCCCAAAAGTTATTTTGTCTGGCGTACAGGTGATGTCGAGGCCAAGTCTTGCCTCACTGCCTCATCTCATGAAACCTGAATGTCCACCTGAGGCAGGGTTTCGAAATGTTGCCATGTAGTGTTTTTTTTTTGTTGTTGTTGTTGTTGTTTTTAACTCCTTTTATAAAGAGTTTCATGACAATTTCTAAGTTCTTTTAAGCTCCTGTGGGGAGTTTTTTTGAGGTATTATAGGTTTCCACTCTTTTTTTTTTATACTGTCTGCCCCAGCACCCAAAATCTGACTTTAAATGTACATGCTAATCTTGGCACCCCCTATGGAAAAAGCTGCACTTTTTGTTGACACCCAAAAAAATCTTACCATGTAGAAAGAACCAGTCTTCATGTGGATGGTCGGGTTGCTTTGGCTTCAATTTCAGTCTGTTTTGCAACCAGCTAAAAAGTCCTTACAGTAGCTTTAATTTACTTTAAAATAGCTGTTTTAACATGGCGTAGAACTTTTTCCCTCAGCTCTCATAAAATCAGGCATTTCAGGCTGTAAACACTAGAAGAACTCATTGGTGCAGCGTTGTATTTAAAGCATTAGGACACTATTATCCCCGTTGCACAGACTGATGTTGTCGCTCCAACTTTTATACAGTAAAATCTAATTAATGCAAACCTGAATAGCACTAACATACTCCAACAACTGATCATTAGATCTGTTTAGAAAGTCAACACACCACACAAAGTGGACTGCATAACTTCTTCCACACATGCATTACTCATGCTGCCTGAATCCCATTGATCTATTATTGAGCCAAAATCGTATTAGCACTCCGATCCCATTCGTCATACAGTGCCCTTCCCTTCGGCATCCTTCCTCTTTTTACCTGTGCTGCATGACTCATGATACTCCATGAATGGTCCTGATAACATCGTCCTTGGGAGCGTTTTTCTTTTTTTCTTCTTCTGAACACCTGTTTGCTCTCCGGAGATCATTTGACACCACTCTACTCATCTACATGCGAGCCCCCGTATCCCCGACCACACCTCCGTCACAATCTGGGACAAAAGGAGACAATACCTGGGCAATTTCCTGCTTATTGTTCACCTGGGATGACTTTTTAATTAAACCCAATGCTGCTCTTGTGTTCCCGACAAAGCCACCAGTGCTATTGTTGTCAGGCTTTTGTGTCATTGTAATGTTCTGCTTTTTTTCATATGACGCCTGATCTACGAGCCACTTCCAGGTAAGCGGAGGGAAAGATGACCACGTCCCGACGTGTGTGAGCGGCTGACGTAAATCCTGCTGAAAGAGGACAGCTTGTGCCGCTGATGAAGTGGCTTTGAGAGGGATCGGAAGGGCCTGGAGGGGGCGAGACCTCTGCCACATGCTCCCTCGGTCTATTGCTCTCTGATTCCTGCTTTATTTCGCTTGGGGTGCCTGTCACTCTGCATGTCTGCCTCCCCAACCCCCCATACTCGCCCGCTCTACGTCTGTCTGTCTGGCTCGTCCTTCAATCCAGTATCTCGGAGCCACATGCAATCTGTTTGGGTCATTGTGCAATTGGTGGTCATTTTGGTTCAGTAATTCAGATAGAATTGAGTTGCAGTTGTGCATACATTCCTGAATCTCTTACACACCTACATACAGAGTACTGTCTTCCTCACATGGAAGTATTCCAGTGAAATATTACTGAAATAATAATTTTCAGCTCAGACATCCTTGGCTGCTTTTATTTGGGTGCTAAAATCTCAGAAGTGGAACAAGAGGAATGAAATATTTCAGCAGCAATTAATAAAAGCATCTCTTCCCCTCTGAGAATGTATAAAACATTAGGAGGGAGGAAATGCAGATTTTACAGTTTTCTACATCTCAACAAACCACTGCAGTCAGAGGGGAAAGGTGTCATGCTACTTGTTAGTTTTGGTGGCCCTCTGCTGGCTATTTGATGTACCTGCATTTGACACTTTATATGAGGCAGGGAGCACAACATGATCTTGTATTGTTCTTGCATTTTGGTTTTACTTTAAGGAGGGTATCATTGATATTTTGTTTGATACTGCATATAACAGGAGGTTTCTAACCCAAACCTGTCACGGTTTGGAGTTAAACAAAAAGGGAAAGGACCCAAAATGCAGAACAAAGAAGAAAAAAAAATGTAAAAGAGTGACATTAAAAAGCAATAAAAAGAGAAACATCTAAAAGGGAAAACCCACAAAAAAATCACTGGAGAAAAGTTCACAAGAACAACTGGGGACACAGGCATATGCACACACTGACAAACAATGAACCAATCAGGACAAGACAAGGACTATATTCACGCTGGATAACGAGCAACAGGTGAGGCTAACGAGACACAGGTGGGGCTAACGAGACACATGTGAAACTCATGGGTGATTAACGAAGGAGGGAAAACTAGGCAGGTAAAACCAGACTAGAAACACAGCTAGGAACAATAGGGAACAGAAACACCAGGAAACACACAAAGAAAATACACTCAGATAACGAAAAACTAAATCAACAGGACATATCATGACAAAACCAAGAGTTCAAGAAATTTGACATTAATTCATAGAAATTTTATCCTCATTTTATGTTTCTAAAAGCAAAGAGTTTGTACTTTTTAGGTGTTGCACCACAGGTTTTTGAAGTAAAATGTCTCCAAACCCCAATGTCATGTCCCAGTTTACCTTACACATGAATGCATTACAGCCATAATGACTGGAATACAAAGAGCAATGTGGAAAAGTTTCTTATACAAAAATGCAAAAAAAAAAAAAAAAAAAAAAAAAAGTTTAGTGTGTAAAATGTTGATATAAAAAAAATTTTCATGGTTTTCTTTTTTTATTTATTCAACATTTAATCAAAAATAGTGCCAAGACAACATATCAACTGTTAAAAACCGGAAGACTTTATTGTATATAAAAAAACGCATATAATTTTGAACTTGATTCATAAAGTTTGAAAAGTGACAACAAAAGAGGGTAAAAAGTTATTTGATGTGAGGAAAAAAATGCCATAAGAACATCTCTCAACTAATTAGATCAGTTCACAGCACATCAGTAACATGCCTGGATGCAAAAGGGCTTTATTGAGATGCTGAATCTCCCAGAAATAAAGATGGGGAGAGAGTCACCAGTGAGAGACTGCGTGAGCAAAAAGTTCAACAACTTCAGATAGATGTCCCTCTTTGTAAATTTTACAGAATGTGAGTTTTTCATCAGCAGCAGTACATAATATCATGACTGCTTTGAATCCAGACATGACTCTGTAGTGGAGGTCTCCACATGGACTCAAAATAATTTCCAAAAATCACTGTGGAAAACCAAATTTAGGTTAATACTTTTTGTTTTATGATGCTGCAACTGTCACCCAAAAACGAGATTGACTGGGATGCTCTGATACCTCAAAAGTCTGGACATAGCATCATTATCCCTTACTGGGTCACTTTAGGAATAGATAATCAATCTTTAACTGAAATAATGACAATCAGAGTGTTTCTGTCATTGTCAAATGTCAGACTGGTTCAAGTTTCACCTGAACCTTTTGTAAGAATTAAACAAGACTTGAAAATCTTAAATGTCAAAATTACCATATTGATGTTCACTGTTTCTGTAAATATCATCTAAATACCCTGACAAAGATTTCTCCACACTGTTAGCCATAAAGGGTCTTTGTGGGAAAATGCTGACTCTGATTTTTCTGTGCAATATGGAATATGGTCGGACTCCAATGGAGGGTATAAAACACCAGCCTTGAAACACTGATTTAAGGTGGGTTTACTTTCTTGGTCAGCCGTGAAGGAGAGGAAGTCATCCCTGAAAAGACCTTATAGAGGGGAGCAAAGTTATCGCTCGTGTCAATCATACCATACAATGCTTTCTATGTCTTTCCAGTAGGTGGCGGTATGACAAAAATGAAGAAATAGGGATTTTAATATTGCATGCGATTTTTTGGGGCAGTTTAGAGCATGCATGTTCAAGTTAGAGAGACTTCCCGTTATATTTCTTACTTTATATATAGGAGTTCAACATATGTGAGGTGGGTTGCATCAATCCTGCAGACAAAGTGATTCCAAGAATGACCAGAAAATGGGACTTTAAATGCTGGTGATATAATACTACTAATAAAAATCTGAAAAAGAGAGACATTTAATGCATATTTTTGCATGAATCTGAGCAGAAATATACATTAAAATGTCGCACACTGTGGGCTAAAGCAGTGGCCTTGATCCCATGCACATCCACACACTGACACACACACACACACACTGAGAGTCATAAACCATCTCTGGGCCTCAGCTGCAGGTTGCCCTCCACTGGCAATTACTTTCATCCACAGACTGTGACCAGGAACTGTTACCCCTGGGGTTGCCGTACAAACACCCACCCACACACAGACCCACAGCCACACACTCTCAACGCTTCACTAGCCTGCTGAATGCTGATTCTGGGCTTCTGCCTGTGCAGCTTTGGTTCTGACTCTGGTCCTGATCCCTTCCTACACAGTGGCAATCCTCCTAAATGCACCCTGATGGCTGCGTGATCACTGGGCCCTGCCCGACCATGCCGGTCAAACTCATAAAGACATGTGCAAACACACACACATACAGCACAAATGCGCACTGGTCCGCTGTTCCAAAGCTTTTAGTGCCCCAGATATGAGGCATACATGGATGAGGTGATGATGCATGCATGCACCCACAGATCATTGACTCCACATATATAGAAAAGACAGAGGCGGCGCAGCCAACCTGCATGAGCCTGGAAGACAATTAGAGCGAGCGCAAATAGTGAATGAGGACTCGGGGGAGAGGGGATTAGGCCAGCTGTGTTTGGCTCCAAGGATTAGTTCAGGGGTGCAGGGTGCTTTAAAAGCGAGAGATAAGCTCTCCAACAACTAAAGGTCACTCACCAAACAGATTGAGTGCTTAGCAGAGATGAGAGGAGATCTTAGTGGCGGTCAGGTAGGGCTCAGGAAAGGTGCAAATGTGGCGACTGTAAGTGTTCGGAGTGAGGCTTGATGGTTTTGTGATTTAAAAAAAGAAAAGAAAAAAAAACAGTCCTAAAAAAATTAATAAAAAATACTCAAACTCTCTTCAAATCAGAAATCCACATCTACCTAGTGTTGTGCTGTTCATGGACGTTTCATTTAAAACGGAACTGCTGAGTGAACAAAGTGAACTGAATCACTCAGAGACCCGATTCGTTCCTTTTTCAGTTCAGTTGCCGGTCAGGAGTGGAACTGCCGCCTCGGACTGTGGTGAACGACACACAGCCAGCGAGCTAGTGGGCGGAGTCTCATGATTCACTCTCAGCGTATGAATGATATGTATCAATCAGTAAACGAAACAGTCTGTGAACGACATGTATCAGTCAGTGAACAAAACAGTCTGTGAACGACATGTATCAGTCAGTGAACAAAACAGTCTGCAAGTGACATGTATCAGTCAGTGAACGAAACAGTTACCGAACAACATACAGTCAGTGAACGACATGTATCAGTCAGTGAACGAAACAGTTAGCGAACAACATACAGTCAGTGAATGACATGTATCAGTCAGTGAACGAAACAGTCTGTTAGGGACATGTATTGGTCAGTGAACAAAACAGTCTGTGAACACCCTGTATCAGTTAGTGAACGAAACAGTCAGTGAATGACATGTATCAGTCAGTGAACAAAACAGTCTGTGAACACCCTGTATCAGTTAGTGAACGAAACAGTCAGTGAATGACATGTATCAGTCAGTAAACAAAACAGTCTGTAAGCGACATGTATCAGTCAGTGAACAAAACAGTCTGTGAACGAAACAGTCAGTGAACTACATGTATCAGTTAGTGAACGAAACAGTCTGTAAACGACATGTATCAGTCAGTGACGTAGTCTTTTGAACGAATCCTTTTAAGGAACGGATTGTAAAGATTCAGTAGTCAAAAGAACTGTTCTTCCCATCGCTACATCTACCCTGGTTTTCTATGACAGTATATCAGATTTTGGCTGAAATATTCCCTATATTTAAGCTAGCTAAAATAGGCAAAGTGTTAGTCCAGGCAGGTCACATTACACACGTCCTGCATTAATATATGACCACCTGTGACACAAAATAGAGGAGATACGAACCTGAAATAGTCTTTTTGATGCAGAGATTTAAAAAGCATGTTTTTTTCATTGCAACCAAGAGTGCACTTTCCTTCCTTTTTCCTTTTTTTTTTTTAACCCATCAGGCCATTGTCATCATTAGCCGTGTGATTTGCTCCAACGCTTCGGAGCAATGAGACCAGAGATGTGGCCGGCAGAGAGTATATCCATTAATCAGCACACCATCTCATTTATATTCCATTTCAGCCTCCACTGCTGCACATACATGAACCAAAATAGAAGGTGTGCTT